ATGAACTACATTCCTCCTAATGGCCTGGCCCAATTTACTTTTTGTGTGTGGCTCATACCAAGTTTACTGATCACGTCAAGCTCTCCTTTACCTGCAGAACTCATTTGCTTCCATGGCTTTGCACTGCGCTAGCCAAACCAGCAAGGCATTGCTTTCTCACTGGATTCAAATTCTGATATAGATACCGCTCTCTAAAGAAATCCCCTGACCTAGCCTAGGAATGCTTGTGTCCTTTTTTATGGCTACACATCATACTACATCTCCGCAATATATAGAAGCTGGTTTGGGTCATCCCTCCAGCTGAGTTATGCTACACGTAGCCCAAAGGAGTTGCTGTAGTTTAACAGGTTCTTTCCCAAAACAGCATAGAAGCGGCCAGGCACATAGCAACAGTCCATACATTTCTTCTCAATCGGGGATGACTTTTTTGTATTTATTGCGAGAGAGGGTGTAGGGCAGTATGGGATACACCGGAAACACTACATAGGAACAGGAGCACACACTACACTGTGCTAAGCCAGAAGCAAAGTAAGATAGCCAGAACTGAGACCTCGAAGAGTCACCACTTGCACTCTCACCCAAAGGACACCAGCACTAAGTCACTAATCCTTCAGCTGAGGTCCATACTCACACTGGTCGTCACAGATAGCCAGATGCCTCCATCCAGTATCCACCGGACACTCTTCAGTGAGGGAGACTTTAATGCCCACAATGCCACAGGACAGCCAGACCCTTTCCAACCTTCAACGGTCACTCTTCAGTAAGCTCTCCAGATCGGATCCTTAGCTCCAGGAAGATCTAGAAATAGTTCCGCCCCCCAACTATGCTATAGCTGGGACCTCGATGAATGTCGGCATGAATCAGCAGAACTACTGCGGGGAAGAGGGGGGGGGGGCAACCACCCCCTCCCAGCTGGATGGAAAAAGATGCTACCATTCTAAAGCTCAGACTATTTATATGCCTCTTTGACCACCTACTGGGCAAGCCCCACAAGGGATTGGCTGAAGCACAATACATTTTCAGTCTGCTCATTTGACTTTCCCACCCACCATGTTCTAGAAACATCTAGAAAGTAGGGGGCAACAATAAAACCTGTAGCCTGTGAGATCTAGAACAGCCCAAAGCAATCAAAAGGTGCCCCAATGATTATAGAGGAGCAAAAAAAAAAAAAGAAAACTAAACTAAAATTTCTTAGCATCCTAGATACTTATCCAAGAGGGTGCTATATCCAGATATTCAGATATCACACTTCCTTAAATTGGAAACAATTTATTCTGTAGTATGCTTTACTCCTAACCAATATGCCTTTTGCATTACTCTGACACCAGCTTTATTGCGTTATCAGACATTAAATCCAAGTTCTGATTTGGGCAATTTTTCATGTAGGCTACAGTGGTACAATCACAATAAAATGGTAGCAATTCTGTCACTTTTGGTGCCATCATGGCTAAGAGTATGCACTGGGGGTGAAACTTTCCAGTGACATACATTCACTGGCCACTTTATTAGGTACACCTTGCTAGTACCGTGTTGGACCCCCTTTTGCCTTCAGAACTGCCTTAATTCTTCATGGCATAGATTCAACAAAGTGTTGGAAACATTCCTCAGAGATTTTGGTCCATATTGACATGAGTTACTATTGCCTTTCTATCATCTCGAACCAGTCTGCCCATTCTCCTCTGACCTCAAAAAGGCATTTTCGTCCACACAACTGCCGCTCTATTGATATTTTTTCTTTTTCAGACCATTCTCTGTAAACCCTAGAGATGGTTGTGTGAAAATCCCAGTAGATCAGCAGTTTTTGAAATACTCTTTTTCTGCGTTTTTACCTGCAAGTTTGTAACACAGTCTCATTAAACCTGCAAATGGGATTGTAGAGGGGAACTCATTCCATTCTCTGACCACCAGTGTAGGCTTGCTGCATATCTCGGGTGTGTATATGTCATCGGGACCTTCAATCAGCACTCCTATACAGATACCAGCTTGCAGTACTAATGTCCACCCTACAATCACAGAAGGTGGCAAGCTGATTGCAGCTACAGTAGACAATTGCTTCCATACATTCATTCTCCATGCACTGCAGTTTTAGCGTGGGGCATTCTAGGAGCATTATATATGGGTTGCTATTCCTCGTCTTACTGGAAGCTGCACTAAAGATGCCGCAAGCATCGACAACAGAGAAAAAAGCCGTGGTGTTAATGTAGTCACTCTGCCAGTCATTGGTATTAGCGTGGGCCACTTTGCCAGCAGTATTGACAGTCAGATTACCAAGGCTGGGGCATTGTTGTAGTCTGCTAAGAGATGAATTTGTGGACAGAATTCTCAATGCTCAACTTGTTCAAGTTTTAAAAAACCTGTTTCTGTGTAAAAAAGTTTAATTGTATATGGAAATCCCACCCTGTATTTCTCTAAGTAGAAGTGTAACAGTTTTTCCTTTTTATGTTATTTATTAATTGATTTTTTTTCAATATCTTTATATACTGTATGTATGTACATAGGCACAACCATTTATGTTCATTACATATGCAAGTTTTCTTTCCTGCTTTTTATTATTTATTTTTATTTATTTATTACAGGTACTTATATAGTGCCATACATTTACACAACACACTATATATATATATATATATATATATATATATATATATATATTGTACATTCACATCAGTCCCTAACCCTCAAGGGGTGTACTGTCTAGGGTCCCTAACCTACATTCATACACACACATACTAGGGCCAATTTAGACAGGATCCAGTTAACCTACCAGCATGTATTTGGACAGTGGGAGGAAACCGAGTAACTGGAGGAAAACTATGCAGGCACTGGGAGAACATGCAGACTCCAGGCAGGTGGTGCCATGGTTGGGATTCAAACCAATGACCCTAGTACTGCCAGGCAGAAGTGCTAAGTATTTGGCTACTGTGCTGCCAATTATTATTAATATACAGGATTTATATAGCGCCAACAGTTTGCTCAGCACTTTACAATATAAAGGGAGACAATACAGCAACAATACAAGAGGGTTAGGAGGGCCCTGCTCCTGGGAGTTTACATCCTAGGAGTCTAAGAGGGAAGGGCTGGTGGTACAAAAGGTAATAACTGTGGGGGATGAACTGATAGGAGAAATAGAAAATTTGGTTGTTAGCTGAAGGCAGGATAGGCTTCCCTGAAGAGATAGGTTTTCAGGGATCACCTAAAAGGGGCTGAGTAGGCAATACTTGGATAGGTTGGATAGAGAGTTCCAGAGGATGGGGGAGGCTCTGGATTAGTCCTGGAGATGAGCATGGGAAAAGGAGACAAGGGAGCTAGAGAGTAGGAGGTCATGGGGGAGCAGAGAGGACGGTTTGGGTGATATTTGGAGACAGGATTGATGATGTAATTTGGGGCAGAGTTATAAATGTCTTTATATGTTATTGCTAATATTTTGAATTTTATTTGTTGGGCAATGGGAAGCCAGTGGAGGGATTGGCAGAGAGGGATAATCTGGCAGATATGAAATGGTTGGTAAGGTGGATGAGCTTTTCAGTGCTAACACAATAGTTGTGCTTAAAGCCGGCCATACATGGATAGAAATTTGGCCAGTTCAGCAGAGACCAGACGAATTTCGATCCATGCATGGTCTATAGGGTTTTTCCTGAATGATCAGTGAACCTGGCTATAGTTGGAAACACTAACCTCTTTCACATGGACGTTCCGATCGGGTCCACCTGCCTGTTTTTCAGGCTGACCTGATTGGAACCTCCATTATCCTATACACCCGCCGACATCCAATCCGATCCGACCTGCAAATAATGGACGGAGGGGTATCCAATTCCCCTTCCGTCTGTCAGATGGAAATGGACAGGCGATTTGTTTTCAACTGGCCGCCCATTGAGGAGAGCGAGCTGCTCTGTGTCTGCTCTGCAGCAGTGGAGCAGACACAGAGCTGTCATCCGCGTGCTCAGCGGGGATCAGCGAAGAGATCCCCCGCTGAGTAAGCGGATCCGCTAAACGGGTCTTCCCCCTGTGAAAGGACCCATATATTCTGCTGGGGGGAAGGCTCCCCACTGGTAGAATCCAATAGCTCAGCGGGAGTGTTTTCCCCATCCACCTTGAATGCATGAATGGGGAATCATTTCACTTTTTTTCATTCAACCCACTGGTCGAATTAAAAAAAAAAAACAAGTACGGCCAGCTTAATTATTCCTTCTCACAATTTCGGTCTATGTGTAGGGCGACCTTCTGAAACCAATGCACACTGGGGGTTATTTACTAAAACTGGAGAGTGAAAAATCTACTGTGTATAGAAACCAATCAGCTTCTAGGATTTATTGCCAAAGCTTAATTCTAGATGAAGTTAGAAGCTGATTGGCCACCATTCACGGTGGCACCAGATTCTGAGTGCTCCAGTTTTAGTAAATCTACCCTACTGTGCGATTGATATCTAAAAGCTGAACACTTGAAATGATTTTTATTGCATAGTTACAATGGGCTAGCTTGGACCAAAGTATACATATGTCACACCTAAGTGATCGCTGTAGAAGATGCAAATCACTGTAGTCAGGGCCGGTGCTACCACTAGGCAAACTAGGCAGATGCCTAGGACGCAGTCACAGCCAGGGGCGCTGAGAGGGCAGTACAGCCGACCCTGCTGTAACATTAAATATATTTTCCCTTGGCCCCACAGGTCACCAGAGGGGCGCAGGAGGCGAGGAGGAGAGGGGGACTCTTTTTTTAATTGCGGGTGCGGGCGGCCAGCCACGGCTGCTCACAGCCCTTCACTGACGGAGTGATTATCCCTTCCTTTGCTGGAGGATGGAAGGTGAAGGCGAGGCTGTAGCACAAGTATCACAAGTGTAAACAAGAACTAACAGGAAGCATCTCATTGAGTGTGAGTAAATCTGACAGGCTGACTGTCAGGTGGAAATGATCCAATAGCTGTGCAGCCACCAGATCACTTCCACACCCCATGTGACCTGCCATGCTTCCCAGGCTCCATGCTCCCATCAGCAGACCTGGGAAATACATGGTGGCAGGGTCGGACTGACCATTTGGAAACTCGGGCACTGCCCGAGGGCCGGGGTCAGTAGGGGTCCCCATGAGATGCCCCTGGTACCTTTTTCATAGGCTTTTTGAGTTTGGGAAAGGACACAGGGGCCCCATGATCCCCTATTGCCGGGGGCCCCATGAGTTGTCAGTCTGCCCCTGCATGGTGGGTGCCTCTAGTAGAAGGGAGGGAGATCAGAGAACACCTATTCACTGATCTCCCCTTTGTGTTAAATACCCAGAAGCAATGTGTAAAACGTCACTTCTGGGTCCTGGTGTCACTGTCCCTAGACTGGATTGGATGATGTTAGCTGGAGATGAAGCTGTCTCCTGAAAACTTCAGTCAATCCGTGTAGAAGTGGTATCCAGCCAATGAGGTGATGCACAAGCCGTGCTTCCTCCCAGCTCCCCAGTCCGTCTCCGTATGGAGCTACAGCTGACCAGGGGCGGACTGACAACTCATGGGGCCCCCGGGCAATAGGGGATCATGGGGCCCCTGTGTCCTTGCCCAAACTCAAAAAAGCCTATGAAAAAGGTACCAGGGGCATCTCATGGGGCCCCCTACTGACCCCGGGCCCTCGGGCAGTGCCCGAGTTTCCAAATGGTCAGTCCGCTCCTTACACATGTGGATTTTTGGACGAGAATATTTGTAAGAAAAGTCGTACGAAAATTCTTTGAACATTTGGCGAATGGACGAATCTCATTCAAAAATTGTCTTTTGCTTTTAACATTCGATTTTAAAATGAATGTAATTTCTGAACGATAACCCCATGCACTAGTTGAAAATTCGTCCAATCGAGAAAGTTTCCGTTCCGCCCCTTCGATTTTTCCAGTCATTGCTGTCGAAAATGAACATCGATTTGACTCCACTAATGATTAGAAAATCAAACAAATATTCTGGAAACCAGAAATCTCTAATGAAAATCTATACATGTATGGCCAGCTTAACATTAGCAAAGATTAGCTGTGTGCGGAGTTTTGTTTTGAAGGGGTTTTTTTTTTTTAAGGGTGGAGGGTGCAAATAATAGGTCTTGCCTTGGGGTAGCAAAATAGTCTAGCACCGGCCCTGACTGTAGTAGTCAGTGCTACTACAGTGATAGCAGTAATCTGGGTCCTATGCTGAGCAGGCTTCCCTTCTGCATAGCAACCACAGTGGTTTTCTGCCACCATTCACAGAATGGCTTTTGTTTTTTTTCAATTAATACAAGGTGTTCTCTGCAGGGGCGTCCCTAGGGTTGGTGTCACCCGGTGCGATAACACTTGGTGACACCCCCTCCGACGATCCCCGCAGAATGGATTGGATCTGCGGATTGAGCATAATGGATCAGAGTCCAATCCATTATGCTCCCCAATTCGCAGATCCGATCCATCCTGCGGGGATCATCGTCATGCAACCTATACGGGGTGACAGCCATGAAGAGGTAAGTTGTAAAGAAAGCCGACGATCCCCGCAGGATGGATCCATCCTGCGGGTATCATCAGCTTGCTTTACAACTTACCTTTTTGTGGAGCGGGTCCGGTGTCACCCCGTGTGGTAGGTGTCACCTGGTGCGGGCCGCACCTGCCTCAGGATGCCACTGGTTCTCTGACTGGACCAGGTGGCTATTACTGTATGACATCATCCCTGCCCCCTGCCCTCCATCTTGTCCAATCTCAGAAATAGAAAGCGTTCTACGAATGGCGGCAGTGCTGAGCAAGCGACCCCTTGTGATATTTGCAGCTTCTGCAGTGATTGCTCATATATGAGATAGGCATACTTACATGGATCAAGCTGGACCAGGGTAACCAGACAAAAAAAAAAAACACAGCTAGAGTTCAGCTTTACAGTTGTTAAAGTAAACTACAGAGACAAATATGAGGGCTGCCATTGCTGACTTCCATAGAATTATAGATGCCTTAGGGCCCTTTCACATGGGTGAACCGTCTGGGTCCACCTGGCAGTTTTTCTGGTGGACCCAAACAGACCACCCATTGCTCTCTATGGGGAGGAGGATGTAAACAGACGTGTCTGTTTACACCAGCCTGCATCCGATCTGCTAAAAACAGATGGATAGGGGATCCACTCCCCATTCATTCTAGCGCATGGGTGTCAAAATGGCGGCCCTCCAGCTGTTGCCAAACCACAAGTCCCATGAGGCATTGCACGATTGACAGTTACCCGAAGGCAGAGGCATGATGGGACTTGTAGTTTCGCAACAGCTGGAGGGCCGCCAGTTTGACACCCCTGATAGCGGATCGGATGGCAGTCAGATGTAAACAGACAGGCGGCCTGTTTGCATCCGACTGCTCATAGAAAACAGCGGGCGGGCTGTGTCTGTGTTAGCTCTGAACAAGTCACCCACCTCCTCAGCGGTGATCACCAGACAGATCCCCAGCTGAGCAGGCGGATTCACTTGGCGGAGTCCACCTGTGTGAATGGGCCCTCACCCTAGGTTCACACCTAAGCGTTTTCCACAGCATTTTGCAGAAACGCAGTACGGTCCATTTAACATGATTTCCTATGGGACAGGTTCATATCTCCGTGTTTTCACCCGGTGCGTTTTTTTGGAAAGGGTCAGAACCAAGAATGCAACTTTTTGCATTTAAAAAAGTACCTATAGACTTCAATGGAAATGTTGCAGAAAAGCATGTAGTGCGTTTTTGCTGTGTTGTTTATGCATTTTTGATGCCTTTTGCGCATTAAATCTACCTTGCAACAAAAATTAAAAAAAAAAAAAAAAACAGCAAAAACACATTAAAAACGCATGTGCAAAAATGCACCACAAAAATGGATAGGCGTGAACCTAGCCTCAGTGTCTTTGGTTTTGCCACTTTCTTAATTACTGAACTACGTAATTAACCGCTTCCCATCTGGCCCATGTACATAAACGGCCGGACAGGAGCAGTGCAGGAGTGGGTGGCCGTTTATAAATGGCCTCGGCATTCCCTGCCTGTGTGTGCGCTCCCTGTGATCGTGCGGCACCGTGAACACTGATCACTGTATGGGACCTCTGTGTGAGGTCCCAATCATGTGATCACTGATTGGCCAATCAGTGATCACAAGAATAGTAGTAAGCAAGATGTTACTTCCTGACATCATTGCTTACTACGTGTGAAATCTGTGAATGATCACAGAGGTCACATGGTACAAGGCTATTCACAACAGTCTTATACCATGTGACAGTGACCAATCACAGCTCTCACAGTATTTCTCAATGGCTGCAAGAATGCAGCCAGGGAGAAGGAGAAATTATTGCTTTTACAGCCTTTATGGGTGTAAAAGCAATCAGTGTAAAAAAAAAAAATCTTTATCACCCCCTACAAGTAGTACACTGTCACTATGGTGACACTGTACTGCTAGGGTGACAGTTTGTAAAAAAAACAAAAAAAAAACCCCATAAATAATAATATAATAAAAACGTTTAAAAAAAAAATTAAAATTATAATATTTGGCTATAAACTAATTTGGGTTATTATTTTTTTGCCAAAAAGATAGCTGAATACATTTTGGCCAATATTTCTGAAGAAAGATTATTTATTTGCAAAACTGTTATAAGAAAAACCCTTTTTTTTTCAAAATGTTTGAACTTTTTCATTTATATAGCAAAAAAATAAAAATCCCAGTGGTGAATAAATAACACCAAAATAAAGTTTTATCTGTCTCAAACAAATGCTGAAAAATTCATATGGGTGCAGTGTTGCATGACTGCGCAATTGTCATTCAAAGTGTGATAGAGCTGAAAGCTGAAATTTGGCCTGGACAGGAAGGGGGTGAAAGTGTCCGGACTTGCTGTGGTTAAGGAGAACTCAGAACTCCTGATCTGCAGCACTGGCAGCCTCCAAATTCTCTCAGTTGAAGTCCCCTGCTGAGCAATTTGAATCCCACCCTGTGTGAAAGGGGCCTTACTCCCAATGGCCAAGCTAAGTAGCAGGGGTGCAAAGACAATGTTGAGTGTATGCTGCTGAAGAAAATGGAGCAAAGTGAACCTGCTGCCTTTCCCTGCTTCCCTTCCCTGGGTAAATCACATGTTCAAGTTGGGCAGTGACATAATGATTAGCCACTGAGGGCTCCCTCTAGTGGCTGATGTACAAATCTTATTATTTTTCACAAAAATATGAAAGTGCAAGAAAGCAAAAGCATGTCAAATTAAAAAATGCGTTACTTCCTATTAAAAGAAAAAGGGATTTTTGTAAAAATTTTAGTTCATTAGCATGACTTTGCACTGTGTAAACTACATGAATTACCTTGATGTTCAAGTTAGCCAGTCATGGGGGACTTAAGGGGGCAGCAATTGCTGACCTTCTTCTGTTTCTTGGCAAGTCACTAGCCTGGACAAAGTATACAGATCAGGAATGACAGGGAAAAGTCAGAGATTTTTATCTTTATACTTATTAGCACCAGTAACTCAGAAAGTGTGGAAGTAAGTAGGCCAGCACAACAACCAGGCAACTAGCATTTTCAGATGGAGAAGTCAGAAATGGCATGTTCAATGACAGGTTACATTTAAAGCTGAACGCCAGACAAATAGTTAAATACACAGATGGAATATATATAAAGGAGCTGTATTACTAGCCAGAGTATTTGTATTTCTGGTCATCCAGTCCTAACCAGCGGCGGACTGACAACTCATGGGGCCCCCCGGGCAATAAGGGATCATGGGGGGCCCCTATGTCCTTGCCCAAACTCAAAAAAGCCTATGAAAAAGGTACCAGGGGCATCTCATGGGGCCCCCTACTGACCCCGGGCTCTCGGGCAGTGCCTGAATTTCCAAATGGTCAGTCCACCCCTGGTCCTAACATTTACACACATCATTCTACCACACGGCACAGCTCTCTCTGACAGGGAAGGAGACCTGTTCTTTCTCCACTGCAGCTCAGTAACAATTACAGGTCTTGTCCCTCCCCCAAACTGTGATTGGATAGTGAAATAAGCAGCAGACTAATGATCTGTCACTCTGCTTTCTCCTTCTATCAACATGCCCCTTGTGCTGCAGCACAACTGATTGGCTCCTTGTGCTGTTTCTCACTCCATTGCTATGAAATGTGCTTTGCTGTGAATGTATGTAAGAAGCTGATACCAATTTATATTCAGGCATTTGCACCATTTAATTTAACAATTACATACTAATGATGAAATGCATTAACGGGTTAGTTCACCTTTTCAGCAAAAATGAAAAAGGTGAACTA